CTGGAGAGCACCGTGAGGATCCTGGTTTCTTTGCTGTGTCCACCTGGATTCCTGTGCCTTAGCCAGACCCCTTCAGGTACATGGGGCTTGCCTGGGACTTTCTGTAGCAGGCACTATAAACATGACTGTTTCAGTGATGGGGCTTGAAAAATGGAGAAAAACAGCTGGAGTCTGACCATGGAGATCGGATTGCAGTGGAATAACCCCGGTGTGTGTTACCTCCTGGGGGTGTCTGGAGGAACATGCACACACTGTGCTGGAGAGGAGCAGTGCTGTTGGAAAAAGCAGATGCTGTTTGTTTGTGTGGTAGTGTTGAATTAAGTTGGGGTTTTGTTTTGTTTTGGTTTTTATTTGGAGTGTTTCTTGGGGGGAAAAAAGCCAGCTTTATTTTAAATGGGAATGCTGGTAAAGTGGAGATTTTGGAAGAAAAGAAGTCAACATGGGAATTGCTTCAATTGTCTGTTTAAATGGAAGGATGGTCTTTCTTTGAAATGACTGTGCAAGCTTCTAAATGTATTTAGGATGCCTGTCAGTTTTAGGAACGTGCTCAGGCTTCTGGACAAAGCTTTTCCTTTGCTCTTTGGGTCAGTAGATTTCACTAAGCAGCTTTCCTTGATCATATGCCAACTTTGGTATTTAATGTGCTCTCCCCTTTCTTAGCCTGACCCACAGCACAGTGGATTTGCCTTTCATTCTGGTTCTGTGACCTTGCTTTGGCACAGACCTTTTGAAGATGAATTTCCCAGACTATCTGCCACTGATGTGTTTTCTTTTGTTTGTTTATTTTAATTGAAATGGACATTACTAATAATTTTTATGTTGCTACCAGCTGATCAGTTAGAAGAAGCTGGATTTGCAAATACCTCTCATTCAGCCTTATATTTGCATATTCCTGAGTTTTGTGATGCTGGTGGAACAAAGTCCAAACTAAACAAGCACAGGCAAGAGGTCTGAAACAGCCCCTGTACGAGGACTGAGCTTCTGGATGTGGGTGTGGGAAAAGGGGATGGTAGGAAGAACATGGAACAGATCTGTAGAGTCAGGACTTGCATGGAGAAAGAGGACAGGGAAAAGCTGATCACTCTTCTAGTCCAAGAGCTGCAGAGCAACAGGTGAACCCAGGAAATGGCAGGTTTGCAGACAAGCTGGAGCAGGCTTGTCACACAACATGTGTTTCAGCTCTGGAGCTTTGTCATGTGCAGTTATGAATACTAGAAGTTTGCTTGGATTAAAAAATGATCTGGATAAATTCTGGAATAATAACCATTGGATGGATATAGAGATGGATACAGAACTGTTACATGCAAAGATATTTCTGGCACAAGAATCCTGTGAGTTATTCACAGCACATGCCCTGGCTCTGTTCTGGGAGATAGGGCTGTTGAATGATCTCCCACTCCTACCCTGTGCCAGGCATCCTCAGCTGGAAATGAGATACTGGCTTTAAAAGGACCCTGCGTGGCTGTGCTGTGTGTGTTCCCATCCTGCTGCTGTTGGTGGCCTCTTGACAGTACTGAGAAATTTGGATTAATGGTATGGGACCATTCAAACAAAATATGTATCAGTGCAGTTAACTTTGAAACAAAGCCCACTGGCCTGATGAAATACATGGATGCTGGACCCTGAAATATTGACCCCTAAAAGTAACCAAGGGCTCAGTGTGCAACTCAGCTTTCACACTGTGCTGAGTGCTTTCACTGCTGTGCTGAGACAGAAATTAGCAGCATTTTGGGTGAGGGCCAGGTGAAATAAGGGGTGTTACCTGCCATGCAAAGGCTGTTGTACATCTTGCTGTACATCTGTGCACACAGCTATGCACTGATGCTCATCTGGTCTATATATCCATATATTCAGCTGGATCCACATTCAGGCTCCCTGTTAACCCCCTGGAGGCCTTTTTGTGCCTGGGGCAGAGGCAGCTGCCTGACCTGTGCTGTGGCTGATTATTCATACAGAATTCACAGTGCTTGCCCTGGCAGGGCTTGATCCAGTCTTAGGTGTTTGTAAGGTTTATTTTTGGCCACTCCAAATGCACACAGGGAGTTGGGAATGCTTAGTAGCTCTGCCTTCACTGCATTCTTTTACTGGGAAATGAACCTGCTAGTGAGTAAAGAAGGTTGAACTGGTAGAGGGATTTGCTCCTACACACTCTGTTTGCAGCTACTCTGGAAACTCACCTGGGGTTTAAATACTGAATGCATTTAGACAATTCTTATATAAGCATTTTTATGCTTTGCTGCTTAAAGAACTCTTTAACTGCTGAAGCAGGGAGAAAGCAGAGCAATCCATTGCTCTGTCAGAATGTGAATTTCATCTTGAGATCTTCACCTTGCCTAAAATACAAAGTTGAATCAACTTTGGTGTAATTATAAGGCCACAGGCTTTACCCCTGTGTGTGCATGTCCTCTTTGGCAGGTGTGTACACCCTGGAGATCCCATGTGCAAGTCTGCAAGGGTGGCAGGGAAGCCAGTGAAGATACATGGACATCACTGTCTGTGGTCTGTGGCAATTTCGGAGGGGAAACTCAAAACAGATTTAATCAGAAGTCTTTCACAGGGTTTCACGTTATTGCAGCAACTTTCGGGCAATACAGGTGTGATTCATCCTCTGCCTTCCTGACTTGGCCTCACTGATTGATAGAGCTGCAAATCCTACACATTTGTATTCTTTACACCCAGAGCTCCTGCTCACAAAGGCAGCTCTGTAGGTAGACAGGAAGGATGTTGAGTGATGTTGGCTCAGTGGTGAGATGCTGGAAAAAGCAGAGTTGCTACTTTGGAGGCTCTGAATTTGCCCTTGAAAGCTCAGGAAGGAGGCTCTTGAGTTGTGTGAAATAGATTGTGTTTGGTCGTGCCAGAGTGGTGGCTCTGTCTCTCTTGGCTGGTCTCTGATTAGGACACCTTGAGGACATGTTGTGTTTGTGATCCTCAGAGGTAAATGCTGAAGCTTTTTGCTGGAGTATTTCAGGTATGAGAAATCTGCTTTGCTTTCTGACCTCACCATGAAGACAAATTTGCAAGACCTTTCAGTAAATCGTGTCTCATAGCAGATTTACTCATACCAAGCACAGGCAGGAGTTCCCCTAATACTCTCACTGTTATTATCTTACAGGAAGTTAGAACAGTTGTATTTAGCCACCCCTGCAGCTCAGCAGGGAGGGAAGGAAGGATTTGTGTCCCTCTCATGCATAGCACTGCATCTGTGCAACAGGACTGTGGTGCATGTATGAAGGGCATGTCTGTACAGGCTAGATCATGAATTCCCAGACTTTTGGGGGCCTGTGGTATTTGCTGAAACCCAACCTTCATCCACCTACAGCTGAGTCCTCCCTTTCTGTCGTTCTGGCTCAGCTGAGCACAGCGCTCCTGGCAGCTGGCCCAGCTCAGCGACTGAACCAGCAGCTGGCCTTCAGCTCCTTTTAGATGAGATTCTCATCTAACCCAATCCAGATCATCCCCCACTCCCATTTGTTGACCTATTTCCCCCCTGCCTGCCCCCCTGCCTTTTATCTTTTGCAGTGGTGTGTGCAGTTCCCTTTCCAGAGCAGCTGCAGGGAGCTGTGGGAACATGGTGGCAATGCCCTGCAAGGCAGTGCATGTTTCAGAGAACCACTGCCTAATTTAGGCTGGGAGGGACCTGTGCAGGTTGACTGGCTCAGCCACTGCGAGGCTGGGATAATTCAGGCAGCTCAGGGCCTTGTTTTGTTGTGTGCCAAATGTCTCTGAGGGTGGAGATCCCTCTGGTCCTAGCCTAGGACTTGGCCTCCCTCAAGGAAGAATCCTTACATGTTAAACTTATTCTGCATTTATAATAAATGGGCTGTGTTAACACTTTAAGGGCTCTAAGTTTTAATTCCAACAGTTTTTCTCCTACTCCCTGTCAAAGCATGTGTGCCTGCTGATTTAACTGGTTGCTTATTCCGTCTGTCCACTGTGGTGAAGAGGCTGGGGCACTTGATTATTTTTGTCCCCTGTGGCTAAGGGCCATAGGCCAGGCTAGGGCCATGCAAGGAGAGAGCCCGGAGGGAATGGAATCTGTTGTCCTATTCAGCACACATGCTTCCCACTGTTCACTTGAAATTGTGTGTGTGATAGGAGGGGAAGAAATACAAACTTGTAGCGTAATTTAGGTTGGAAAGTACCTGTGGAGGCATCTGAGCTGATCTGCCTCCAGTGAAATCTGTTTTCTGAATTGTTTCTCTGAGTGTGCACAGTGAAGCAGTTGCTCTGCCAGCCTGAAAGACTCTTGTGGTCCCAAACAGGGGGGCAAAACTGCAGCAGAGTGGGCAAGATGACAGTGAGTCTCTCTGCTCACTGCAGCATTTGGATTACACAGCGGTTTTTATTTAAATACCATATCATTATTATTTATGTATGAAAACCACTCTTAGTTCAGGATTAGTGCCAGTTCTCTAATGCTCATGCTATACTGGTATTGCTCCGCGCACTGTGTTGTGTTTCTAGAAAATCACTACGTTTAAAAGAGATTACAAACAGTGATGAGAAAAGGCCACTTGCTAATTGCTAAGTGGTGGGTGAGTTGGAAAGTGTGGTGCTTGGCTTTGGGTGGGCAAAAAGGGGTGTTTGTGAGTCACAAGCTGGTTTTAGAGGGAGGCCAGTGGCTTTTGATACTGCAGTTACTTAGCTGGTTGGTCTGGATCCAGATCTCATTAAGATTTAATTCATGGCTTGTTTTTAAGGAATCTGGATCTCACAGTAGTCTCAGCAAAAATCTTAATGGGAGGCGACTCAAACTTGTGACTGCAGTGTCTGTATCTGGCTCGAGGTTCTGTGTCCTCTGAGTGCCAGGTGCTGAGTGAGCAGGGTGGGCACAAGCTGTGACCCCTGAGCCCTCATGAGGCACTTTGGGAATTCATCCCACGTGGGGCTTGGGGCCCATCGGTCACAGCTAGGAGGAGAAGCCTCTGCTCACCCTGCCAGCATGGGCTGTGAGGGATGAGCCAGATTCCCTCCTGACTCTGGTGTGTCCCCTCTCCTAGGCCTGAGGACGAGCGTGGGACGATGTCGGAGGCGCGACACGACAGCACGAGCAGTTTACAGCGGAAGAAGCCGCCATGGCTAAAACTGGACATCCCTGTGCCGGTGCCCATGCCCGTGCCAGAGGAGCCCCCCCAGCCCGTGCAGGTACAGCAGGGAGGGTTTGGGGAGCTGGGGAGGGGTGTGCTGGGAGCATCCCTGTGCCTGGGATCCCCATCAGTCCTGGCTGAGGGAAAAGCAGCGTGTGATGGCAGGCCATGAGGCCACATAAGAAGGGGCAGAGCCTTTGAGTAAATTTATGAGCAGTAATTAACTCCCCTTGAAGGGGATGTGGGAGGGATGAGGGTGGGTGGCTGATGTGCTCACATCAGTGGATGTGAGTGTTTGGATGTGGGCATTGTGAGAAGCGTCTTGGCTGGGATATGAGAGTGAGGTATTCAAACAAACATTTCTTAGGGGGACTGGAGGACTTAAGGTCTCCCAGACAAGCATGAAGGTCTGGAAGTGCTGGAGCTTGTGCTGAAATGAGCAGGGTATGAATCTGACTTATGAATAGCCAAGATAATGACAGACTTTTATCAGTAACAGCAAAGAATAGTTACTGGCAACACAAAGCTGTAGCAGCAGGAGGAGCATAAGAGGACCATGTGGGATGAGAAATACATAACACTGAGGAGTGCTGAAGTAGAGATGAGGTGATAGGTTAATAGTGCAAAGCATGAGAGTCAAACACCCTTATTTTTGCTGGGAATAGGAAGAATATCAGGAATACCTGCTACAAGGTATTAAAAACTGCTGTAGGGTGAGACCTGGAGATGAGTGCTGGCTGCTTGTGTGGCCTTGCTGCAGGAACAGAGACTTTGTGCACCAAAGGCAGAGCCAGAGGGTTCTTGCTGCCCAGCTCCATGGGTGTGTACAGGGCCTGGGTTCAGTCACTTATGTGAAAAAAAGTTTAGTCATTAGAGAAATGGAGGGTTATACAGCTTCCCTGGAGGGAGCTGAGGACAAGCTTGTCTTAAGAGGGAACTTCTATTGCACTTGGAACAGCAAGAACTGTCCTCTTCATCATTCTGTGATCCAGGGACTCAAATGCACTTCACTTACAGCTCCTGGCAGATGAATCCTGGTTCTGGTCTTCCCTTGGAAGGAAAGAGTTTGGGGGTCAGTCTGTAGGGATTAGAAGTGGAGTTCAGGGTTTTACCAGTGCAGGTTGAAACCTTCTGAATAAATTATTTAAGGCTCTGATGGATCTTGCCTTATCTGGAATCTCTAAATCCAGCTGGGCACCTGGAGGAACACTGTGCTTATGACAGAAACTGGTGGAGGTGATGTTCTCTGCAAAGCCCAGGCTGTCAGGGTAAGAGTGCATTGTGTGCACCTCTGACTTACAACCTGAGTATCTGTGTACTGCTTTTACATAAAAGATAGCAAAACTGTTAATGTAAGTGGAAATCATTAGCTTTCTGGGCTAGAGAGGCTGAAGTAGTCTTGAGGCAGAGACAGTGTCTGACCAGAGGATCGATCAGAGCTTCCCTTGCCAGAGGGGCAGTCTGCTCAGCCTGCCCTGTACAAATGGGACATGGTGTCTCTGCTGAGCTGATAAAAATGTAATCCAGAGCAGCCCTGGGGAGGCAGTTGTGTGAGCTGAGAACAGCGTGATGAGTTGTGTCACATTTGGTAGGTGACATTTAGCCATGACATGTGAGTGTGCCCAGGCAATTAGGCTATGAAGAAAGCCTTTCCTAGCTTGCTTAGGCTGCACCAGGCAGCAACTGCAGACCCACCCACAGCTCTCACAGGCTTTCGGTGCAGATCCAGAGCCACTTCAGAAGCAAACCCCACTGACTGCACTTCTCTTGACCTTGTGGAGCGGTCTAGGATAGTGTGATTTGGGTAGACAGCAGCCAGGAGGATGTGTGGCAGGAGCTCAGGCGGTACATGTTGAATTGCTGACGTGCCCATCCCAGAACTTTGACTGCCTCCCGCTTCCCTCGGCAGCCGACGCGGCGCCAGGCGTTCCTGCGGAGCGTGAGCATGCCGGCCGACAACAGCCGTGTGCCGTCCCTGCCCCACGACCCCGCCAGGAGAGCCGTGCTGCAGCGCCAGACCTCAATCACCCAGACCATCAAGAGGTGAGGCACGGAGCTCCCGGAGCCTGCTGCAGTGTGTTCTGCCATCCTGGAGCTGTGGATTCATGATTCTCTGCTCATCCCGTTGCCTGTCGCAGCAGGGTTAGGTTGAGTCCTTCGTTACCTTGTGAGGTTGTGGAGGGTGGGTGCAGGTTGGTCCCCAATGCAGAAGCCCAGTGGTGCTGTATAGCCTGTCTGTAGTACGTGAGGAGACAAGTCCTGGGAGGAAGATGCTGGTGACCAGGACAATGAATGGTGTTTGCTACTTACAGACAGATTTTGGCTGCCCCCATGCCCTGGGGGGGCTGCTTCTCAGTAACAGGATGGGTCAGGCCCTGATGTTTAGCTGTGACTGTAGATGGGGTGTTCTGGGCATGCTTTGATGCAGTGTCTGAGAGCACATGGTTGCTGGGGGAGGCAGAATCCCATAGGAGCAGTGCAGGGCTCTCAGCAGCTTGGCTCCTAGCACTGGCTCATTGGCAGGTCCTTGAGATGGCTCTGAGCGGTGGTGGAAAGCAGAGAGAGGCTGCTCTGGTCCCGTGTCCCACTCCTACAAAGGGTTGTCTTACGAGACTCTTGAGACATGGCCACAGAGCTGGATGATCTTTCCCTCACCATGGCAAAGGCTTATCCCAGTTTGCCCAGAAGGAGTGGCTCTCCCAGCTTCTCTCCTGAGATGGCTCGTTTCTATCTCTGGCAGCGTGTCAGGCCTGCCTGGATCCCAGGAGCATCTCTGGAACTCCAGGGGTCAGGGATACTTTCAACCAGTCAGGCTTCGCCCACTCACAAAGGAGCAGCTTTCCAGCTCTGGCAGGTCTCCCACACACTATTTTCCTTTGCCTCAGACGTTCCCCAGCTGCCTTGGTGCTGAAGCTCTCCTGCATCAGCCCACTCTGATCCTACTTCTTGTGAGGTTGGGAGGGCTGAGCCCGTGAAGTGGTGTCTGCTCTTTTCAGGGCTGCGGGCAGCCTCAGGGGCTGCTGAGGCTGTCCTTGCACACCTACACTGCCTCTTCCCTTGCCCCCTGCTCCTGACATGTTCCTTGCCAGGATAGCTGGGCAAGAGCATGTCAAGGATGAGGGGATATCCTGGGAGGGTGCTATGGAGGCCCTGACAAGAAGCATTAGGTAGAAGGGCCTGGGGAACCTGCCCCCGAAGTCCTCACAACATGCAGTTTGTGTGTAGGGGAGTGAGGAATTGTGAACTGCTTTGGTGCTACTGTGACAAATTTGCTTTGGGAAGGACTTAACAAGGAGAAGAACTGTAGGAGATGCACACATTACACAACACTAGCAATAAAAGCATGAAATGAGTGGATCAGAAACAAGGCCAGGGAAATGGAAAGTATCAAGGCCTAAATCCCTGTTTTCCATTTAGCAGAACTAGGAATACAGTGGAGAATGCAGACCATACATCCCTAATTGTGTTTTGGGATTTGTTTTGTGAGTCCAGGAAGGCTGACTGCCAAGTTTTCTGCTTAACACAGCCCTCAGAATGCACAGAATGTGAAACTGCAGCAGGACTCCATACCATCTTCCCTGGAGGACACAGATCAAACTGTCTTTATGTGAACATAAAGCGAAGCCTGTGTAGTCCAGAACAAGGCATAGGAGTGATTCATGTGAAAGCATCTAACACCATTTCCAGTCTTCCAGGGTGTCTGAGATGTCCATGCAAAGCAGCAGATGTGCTACAGATAGACTTGTGCACTAGGCAAGATCCTGTCAGGGCATCAGTCTGATGTCTCTAAGCAGATCATATCTTGAGCTGCTGACACCTCCATGGTGTCACACTGGTGCCCAAAGCCAGCTGTGGAATCTGTAGCTGAGTGTCTGGGCTGAAGAAGGCAGGTCTTACACGGGGAGCTGAGGGGGATGGCACTACTGGTACCTTCCAGAGCAATGTGAGACACACGTCACAGGTGCACCAAGAGGATTCAGCAGCCTCCTGGGTTCAAAGATGCTGCTGCTGTGTGGCTTGAGCTTGGTTGTTTCTCTTAGGTCATGCTCTCAGCTGGAGGCCACTGTCACATGCAGTGGGGCACCTCTGCTGCCCATGGGGCTATGGAAGGAGATGCAGTGGCTGCTCCTCTCCACAGCCCTGGAGGTTCCTTCCCCTCAGCTCTCTTTTCTTTGCAGCAGACAGGTTCGGTTTCAAAGAAGTCAGACTCTGCCCGCCCGTGGGCACCGGGGGGGCAGGAGCTCCCTGAGAAAGCGGCAGTCCCTGCCCCGATCGTTTTTCAGGTACTGATAGCACTGAGTGTGAAACCCACCCCTGCATGTGTGTGCCAGGGCTGTTGTGAACTGCGCAGAATCTGGCTGTTGCTGAGATCACATTGCCTTCTCAGGACTGCCCAAGAGGCCTACAGATAGGCAGAGTGAGAAAGTTCATGTGTGCCTCTAACAGAAAACAATTGTCACTCCTACTAAATGTGTAGGCAGCTGTCAATAAGTAGCATGGACTAACAAGCTGTCCACCCGCCAGCCTCACTCCCTCCTGCCTTTCCTAACAAGCTGTCAACCTCCTGGTGTTCACCATAGCTGGAATATCTCCCCAGGGCAGCCGTAGCCCAGCCTGCCTTTGCTGGCAGCAGTGCAGCATATGTTGGCCCCAAAGCCTTCTTAGGGCAGGAAGGGAAGGAGAGGAAGTAGCACCAAACAGACGCTGTTGTGTTGGTCCAGAGGGGCTCAGAGCTGATGAATGGAATACAGCATCCACTCTCCCTGTTGACATCATGGCTTTTTCTAATGCAAATGTGACTGTCTTCTTTTTGAGGTGGAGGTCTTTGTATACTTAGCACCAAGGAGATGAGCCACTCCAGGAGTCCAGGACACAACGGGCCCATTGACCAGCACTCCAAATCTGGAGCTTAGGAATCTTTTAAACCAGACAGTGTGACTTTGTGCATGGCAGGGACTGGACCTAATGCCCTGTATTCCTGTCTCACCATCCTGCCCTTGGCCAGCTGCCACTCTGGCACTGTGACCACCTTTGGGGCTGCTTGTGTTTGGCCTTGGGCTTCCAGGGCTGCTTGGCTCATCATGACGGAAGAGTGACAGCTGACTGATTTTGGTTGTTACAGTGCCCTGGGGACTCTGAAGGATGTGCTGGAGTTTCCCAGATGAACAGAGGCATTCAGCATCTTCCCAGGGTGCTCCAGATGCCCTTAACTCTTCAGTGGACCATTTTGGCTATGATCAGGGAGGAGTGGGACAGCTCTTCACCCTGGCCCTGGCCCAGCAGTGATCTCTGGCAGTTCTGGAGTGTTCTTCACAGTGCCAACAGCTGTGCTGGTTCTTGTCCTTCCAGACTAGTGGGAGCAGTTTTGGAGATCTCTGAGGTTGCTGGTGGTGCCATTCCTCAGCAGGCTCATATGGGCCCAAATGACCCTCAGCCCCTGTCCCTCTGAGGCCCTGTGTACAGGCTTGTCACCCAAGGTCACCTTGCTGTTGAAATACTGGTTACAGCAGTCTGTGGGGAGCCCTCTGAGTTGTCAGGCTGTTCTGTGATGTGTGTTGTGCCAGAGCAACTGGCAGCTTGACCTCTGTGCTATGGGCTTGGTGGGTCTGTCCGGGCAGGGGCTGGCCCTGGGCCATTGCTCTGGATGGAGAGGAAGATTGCTCCAAGGAGATGTGGGTCTGTGGGAGCAGAGAGGTGCCCCAAGGTTTTCACATAGCCCCATCTCCAAAGGCTGGCACGTTGACTTGCTCGTGGCATTTGAGTCAGTGAGGTCAGGTGAATTCCAGCAGTGGCCCATATGACCTCTGAAGGGTCTGTTCTGTATCATTGTGAGAACAGGGAGGGCTGAGGAAAATGTGTGGTGGTTGCGTAGGGAAAGTTTTAGCCAGCAAGGCTGTGAATTTCAAACACATCTTTTGACGTGGTGGCAGAGCACCTTCACCTGTTGGTTGATGGGGTTTTGCTTCAAGGGTACAAAACCACTGGACTAATTTCCTGTCTCCAGTGCACTGGCTCAGTTCCCCTGTGTGGCCTAATTCTAGATTTATCCCAGCCTTTACTCCAGTGTGTATTTTAATGCTCACTTTGTGATCTGTGAGGTCTTGCTTCTCAGCAGCTGGAGATCCTGCCGCTGAGCAGAGGGACTGAGGTCAAGGGTTTGGATTTGGCTTGAACTTTCAGGTTTCAACACCTGGGCCAGTCAGCTGTAGGCTGAGACAGCTTGTCATCTCCTGAGGATGGATTAGCCATCGTGGGAACTGCTTGGCAGGGCTGCCATGAGCCCTCTTAAGTTTAGGGTACCAGCTGTCCTGCAGGATTTGAAATAGGCTTTTAGTCTGACTTATCCTGATCCCTCCCTGCCTTCCTTGGGATTTTGCTTCTGATCCACTGCTCTTCTGTGGCAGCAGCCACTTGGCAGCAAACCTGCCTTGTGGCTGCAGCCTTGTGCTCCTGCTTCTGCAACCAGCAGCATAGAAGTGTGTGTCTGCCTTTGCAGAGACCAGAACTGCAGCAAGTTTTGCTGTTAATGCAACCCTTGAGGAGGTTAGAAACCGTGCAGCATGAGATGGAGAAGTTAGGGAGATTCTGGGAGTGTGGAGGGGAGGCTGGGAGAGAAGAGAGATTTCTGGTGGCTTTTGGGACAAGTTACAGAGCTACGAAACAGTACAGTCTTACAATGGGGACCTAGAGCTGGCCTCAAGATGGTAAGTGTTTGCAATAGATGGTTTTTAAAGTAAAAAACCACCTTTCACCAAGTTATTTTCTGAATTTCTGTACCATTTCTTTTCCTTTATTTTTAGAAAAACTTGGAACAAACTGTCCTTTGCCCACAGTGAATATCTCCTGTCATTTTTTTCTGTCTTAAGAGACAGAATGCTGTTGGTGGTCAAACATTTCTGGCCAGCATCTGTCAGGTTGCTAAAACCAGCTGAGGACAAGCTGCGAGATGCTCCTGGGAAAGAGTTCTGTCTTTGAATTGGGGTGGGCTGGAAGCAACCACCAGGGCTTTGTCTTTTCACGTGCATAGTCCAAGCAAACATCCTTCTTCTTAGCACTTGTCTGCTGGCATCTTTCAGAGGCACAGCAGACTGGTTTGGGGTGAGCAAAGACAGCGATGCCACTCAGAAATGGCAGAGGAAGAGCCTCCGCCACTGCAGCCTGCGCTACGGGAAGCTCAAGCCTCAGGTCATCCGGGAGATGGACTTGCCTAGCCAAGACAACATTTCTCTGACAAGCACAGAGACCCCTCCTCCGCTCTACGTGGGACCCTGCCAGCTGGGCATGCAGAAGGTGAGTAGCCTGGCACAGAGGGACAGAGGCAATGCCATCGCTGAGCTCCCTGCTCGGTGTGTTCAGCGCGTTGGCAGCTGTGACCTGTCTGCAGGCTGAGCTCTGCCTCGACACTCTGGGCTCTGTGCTCAGACACTTCTCATGTCCCAGGTACAGTTTGGCAGCTCTCTCTGGAGCAGCCTCTCTCTGGTCTCGTTGGCTGACATCCCTCAGCTGTTGTGGTGGCTCGGAGCTGTGTTTGTCATGCTGTGACTGTGGTGATCAGGGGTGTGCAGCATGAGCAGCAGCTCTCAGTGCAGGCTTTCTGCTGCCATTTTGAAGGACAGAATTGTGTTGTACCCCGAGTAACCACTATGTTGGACCCAAATGTACAGTAGCAGGGCTGGAATCACTGGGGACGTTTGTCCTACCCCAATCAGAGTGCAGTCTGTAGCACAGTTACTGTCCCCATAGAATGCTGGTTATATTTTAGGACTTTGAAAAGTGTCTCTGGCATTAGTGGTGCTACAGCTCTGCTTATGGGTCCTCAGAAGTGGTTTTGAGTGTCTGCAAAGGGCCTTGTTGTCTTCTTTTCTGTTAAATGTCTTGCACCTAATCTTTGGTCACAGGAGACTTAGAAATATTGTTGAGCTGTATGTGGGCTACATTAAATCAGAACGTGGTGTCAGTAGGTGTGAGCTCATTAAGCTTCCTGTTGAGTGTGCAACTGTGGATTAAAAAAGCTTGTAAAACCTTGGGATAAAGCAAAGAGGTCTTATGGAAACCACAGCTGTGATGATGTAAGGACAGAGGCAAGGTTTGTAGCTGAAGGCAATATTTTCATTACGTTGATTCGTATGTTTGGAATAAGTGAGAGCACAGGCCTGAGGAGTCCCAGAGAAGGGCTTGCAACTCCTGGAAGCTTGCCTGCTTTATCCAGCTGTTAAATTTAATTAATGGAAGCAGATGTAAATATACAGTAAAGTTTCAACAGGATAACAGGAAACTGTTTAAGTCCTGGGCTGTCCAGTATCAGGAAGGAAACTAACTAAAGAAAGAACACTTCTGTTTTCATGGATTTCTCAGACTCCTATTTAGGCAGCACATTCTCTGACTGTTGAGCTCATTGGCATGGGAGACAATGAAACCAAGAACTTAGGAAGGGTTGGAGGAGGTTTGGAGTCTTATGTGAGATACTGGAACAGACTGGTTGACAATAGTCAATACTAACAAAAGAGAGAAAAACCAATTGGTTATTCCTTATCTCCCTATTGTAGAATTGCTTTTTGGTCCCTCCAGCCTGGTTCTTGGTCAATCCCAGGAGCCAGGCCCCTGTCATGGTCTCAAGAGGAGAGCAGAGTCTTGGTAGGACAGGCTTTGGGGATGGCTGGACTGATGGGCTGCTCCTCTTGGCAGATCATTGACCCGCTGGCGCGGGGGCGAGCGTTCCGGATGGCCGAGGACACGGATGGCTGCAGCATCCCCCACACGCCCATCACGCCCGGGGCCACCTCCCTCTGCTCCTTCACCAGCTCCCGCTCGGGCTTCAACCGCCTCCCGCGGCGCCGCAAGCGCGAGTCCGTGGCCAAAATGAGCTTCCGAGCGGCCGCCGCGCTGGTGAAGGTACTGCCTGCCGCAGGGCACGGACCTGGGTGGTCTCTGCCCTGGGGCACGGGGACAAGGAGCTGCTCAGCAGAGGGGTGGGGATAGCTGTGCTGGATGGGGGGGAAATGAAGTCACCTCCTGGCGTGTTTTGGCCATGTGTACAGGAGGCAGGATTGGCAAGGAAGTGGGGATGGTGGTTCGGTTTTGGTACAGGTCTTGCTTTTTCGTTATTGGCCTGGGGACTTTGATTCCCACAGCCAGCACCCTCAGAGCCTTCTAGCGGGTCCAGTTCAGCCTATCTGGACTTCTGGGTGGTCCATGTGCACCTGGTAAGCAGCCAGGGAAGAGCAGAAATACCTGAGGCTCTTGCTGTACAGGTCTCTTCATCCTGCCCTGTGCCTGCTGTCCTGGGCTCAGCGATGCTTTTTGCTGTGTCCAGTAGCAGCCATCACTGTGGTTTGGCCAGACACACTGTACAATATGTGCTAGAGGAGCGCATGGCAAGCCTGGGGGTGGGTGCTGTGGGTTGAGAAGTGGGGTGACAGCTGTGTGTCTCACCAGAAAGGTGTCACACATCACGTCTGCTGTGCTCCATCCATGAGCATGAACCAAGCCCAGCACGTGGGCTGCCTGTGCACTGGCTGGGGTGGGTTTGTGAGCTGGGGGTCAGGTTCTGGCAGTGGCCCCATGTCCCTGTCCCTGGCTGCAGGGCCGTTCTGTGAAGGACAGCACCCTGAGGAGGGCCCAGAGGCGCAGCTTCACCCCTGCCAGCTTCCTGGAGGAGGACACGGTGGATTTCCCAGATGAGCTCGACACGTCCTTCTTCGCTCGGGTGAGGGGCAGGTCTGGCGTGGTGCTGGCCCAGAGGCAGAGCAGGACTCTGGTTTTGGCAGGACTGTGTGTTGCGGAGAGCAGCACTGCCTTCTGCCAGGGCTGCTGTCTCAGGTGGGATGTTGGCTTCTTCTGATGGGACTGCTGTCTCTCTGCCCAGGAAGGAGTCCTTCATGAGGAGCTCTCTACTTACCCGGATGAAGTGTTCGAGTCACCATCAGAAGCTGCAATCAAAGATGCGGAGGTGAAACCTCCAGATCAGACAGATCTCACAGGAGGTGCTTTGGACAAAAATGAGCTTGAAAGAAGCCACTTACTACTGTGAGTATCTTCATGGTGGCTGCCAAAGCGTAACATGGGGTAGCCAACCCATTTGGAGTGGGGCCTCCTGCATGGAGGAAGCCAAGATCTGAGTGCTGTGGGTGTTTGGTGCAGAGATCAGAGCAGTGCAGTGATGGGTTTTCTTTAAATCCAGCTGAAGACCTCCTGCCCCAGCTACCCAAGATGGGAAAGGTGACTCTGAGGCCACTTCTGCAGTAACTCCAGCAACTTCCAGCTTCATACTAATGTGTTTCAGAGATTGTATCATACCTTGAGGAAGCAAAAGACACTTTAAATCAGCTGTGGGGATGCTGAGGGCCCAGCCTTTGGCTATGGAGAGCATGGCAAAGTGCGAAGGCTGTTGCCATTGCCACAGTCACCAGTAACTGTTCTCATGCTCCAAGGAGCGGGGAAGCATTGCAGAGTGTCGAGCTGGGCTGCATTCCTCACTTGAAATGAGAGAAAGGTGTGGCACTGATGCTGAGAGCCCTACAAATATGTGGGTGGTGCTGTACTGTATGCCTGGATTTTTTCCACCTGAGTAACTGGTACTGAGTAATTGCTCTGTGTTGCTTCCGAGTCAGCTCACCCCAGCAGAGAGCTCTGCTGGGTGTGAACATGGAGCAGACAGGGAGGTCCTTGTTGTGGTTCTGCTGCTCTCAGCCTGTCTTGCTGTGTTGGCACTTTCCCTTCAAGTGTTTCCAAGAACTTCACTCAGTTTAACATAAGGGGAAGCACAAATGGTGCGAGTTTGTTGTCACTCCTCTGAGATAGTTTGTCTTCTTGGTTTCCTTTGAATCTCCTTAAATAGTTTTATTTATTGAGGAAAACACATTTTTTTCATGCCTCAGAAAGCTGTTATGAGAGTCACAGTTGGGTGTCCTTTCACGTGGTGAGGTTTTTGTTTGGGCACGGGGAGATTTTCAGCACTGGAAACACTAGGAAACCCCACAGAAACCACTTGACCTCTTGGGCAAGAGCAGGCTGCAGTGGAACCTGCACCTTCTGCTGCAGAAGGACTATCCAAGGGGAAGCTGGGATATTCAAATGCATCTTCTGCAACGTACAATGTGAAAAGAGCTGAAGCTTCCTGCAGTATTTTGGCTACAGAGGTTCAGATTCTCCCTTATGCTGTTGCTTGCCTGTACTTCAGAGCTGTCGTGATCTCTCCAGATACTCCAGTCATCTTTCAGAAGAAAGGTTCTTGGCTGTTTTCTCTCAGCACTTCCGACAAGCAGTGTCTTTGTGCAGTGGGACATTTGGGAAGCAAGAGGAGGTACACTGGACTAGAGCAGGTGTCAGGAGCATGCCTCCTGCAGTGCCAGGCAGTGAGGAGGGTGAAATGGGAGGTAGTTGGGTTTTTTTGGTCAGATCTGAGTGCTGCAGATGTGACCTTCACACTGCTGTCTAAGAGCAGGAAATACAAATTTATCTGAATGTGATGGAGACTTAAAAAGTAGGTGTTATTCACCAGTAACCTGTGCAGTGTTCATCAGATCTATTTTGACAAAAAAGCCTTCTTTTAGTTCAGGATGCTCAGGACTTTTATTGCATTGTTGAAGCCTGTTTTTTTTTAATTCTGAAAAATGCACACATTGGTACAAATAAGGGAGGAATGGAAGAGAAATTGGGAGATAGCTGGTACAGCTTGCAGCCTGTGACAGTGCTGCTTTCTTGGTCTGGGAAGCTGCTTGGTTTAACTTTTGTCCAATTTGCCAGTCCAGTCACATTGAAGTGAGACATTGAAATGACATTTAAAGGTGGGTATTTCCACTTCTGGGCTAAACTCCACTTCCATTTCATAGCAGAGGGCAGAGTAAGAGGATTGAAGTGGGGAGAAAGTAGACATGCCTAGGCTGCATCCCAACAGGCTGCAACTTTAAAGCCTCCAGAGCTCCTCAGTAGTGGGGCTTAGTTTGGTACAGCAGCCTTGTGCCACCCTCTGTGTGTTTCCTGTGCTTTCTGCCACTTCTGTGCTTTCCTTTCCTGGCTCTGTGCAACCCTTTGAAATACAGCTCCCACTTCAGGGCACCTTGTCTGCCATCAGCTGCTGCCCGTCCCGGAGTGGGTGGGACAGACAGAGGCTCTGCTGCCACCAAAGGCCACGGAAAGGCTGGTCCCTACTGCTGTCCTGCTTTTGATTTCAGCCCCCTGGAGCGAGGCTGGAGGAAGCAGAAGGACGGGGGCCTGGCGCAGCCCAAGGTGCGCTTGCGGCAGGAGGTGGTGAGCGTGAGCCCGCAGAAGCGCGGCCAGCGCATCGCCGTGCCCGTGAGGAAGCTCTTTGCCAAGGAGAAGAGGCCCTACGGGCTGGGCATGGTGGGCAAGCTGACCAACAGGACCTACCGCAAGCGCATCGACAGCTACGTCAAACGGCAGATCGAGGACATGGATGACCACAGGTGAGAGCTGTGCTCACGGGGCGTTCCCCATTGTGGGGGTACCAGCTGTTGGTTTTTCTAGGTCTGGATTGAAGGCACTTGAGACAGCAATTCGTGTTCAGACTCCAGCGTTTATTATTTCTTATCAGTGAAACAGTCTCACTACTGTGAGTTCGGCAGCTTTTTATTAGAAGACACAAAATGGCTAACAATCTCTTGTTACAAGGTCTTTTAAGACTAAATTATCCAATTAAGAACTGACACCTAGATTATTTCCCCTTTTAACCCAACAACTGATCTCAAAGAGCCCGCAATGCAGATTGTTCTGCCCAATTACAAAATGCCACCCAAACCCATAAAGAAGAAGAAAGAAAAAAAAAGAAGAAAAAACCCAGGACGACACCCTGTGCCCTCCATCTTGCTTCCATCCACAACATACTAAAAATCCCAAAACCTAAATTTCTCACCAAGTGCTACACCTACACTACTCTCTATAATCTATTTCACACTTTTGTGAATTCTAGTCTATCTTGAAGTCTAATAAACTTTCTCCATGAATAAAAGTCAAAGTCAGTGCTCCCCTGGGAGTCAAGACACCCTAGAGCAAACAAAGATATATTCCCAGTGCCCTGAGTTTCCACACCCATGAACTGCTGAGTGAGGGATTGCTGCTGGCCCTCAGGTCACTGGGTGCTGCTGAGCCCCACCATCTTTGTCCCTTGCAGTGCAGAGCCAGCTGCAGCCAAGAGCAGCTGAGCAAACCTCACCCAGCAGTTTGGGACCTCACCCAGCTCCTCACGGTGTGTCTGTGTCTCTGCTGTCTGGAGGGACTGCAGCTCTCTGTGCCACCTCCACTGTCCTGTGGTGAACAGCGGGGCTCAGCTATCCCTGCCTCTGCTCATTCCCCTAGAGTCATTATTTCAGAAACACAGCACAGTTCAGCACTGGCCTTTGGTGTTCCCATGGATGTTTTCTTGGGAAAGGGTGGTTGTCCAGGGGGAGTCAGAGTAAACAGGTTCTGTCTTCAGCAAGACCTTAGGTCATTGCCCCCTGTCCTGTGCACTCCTAGGTGATCCTGGCCATGTACCCCAGATTTTGGTGAGGTTTCTGGGGGAAAACAGCAACTTTTCCCCTCTGTTCTGTTAGCAGATGTAATATGCCTGTGTTTCTGCCTCTGATCCTTTCCCCTTCCCTCCATGCAGGCCTTTCTTCACTTACTGGGTCACCTTTGTGCATTCACTCATCACCATCCTCGCTGTGTGCATCTACGGCATTGCCCCTGTGGGGTTCTCACAACATGAAACTGTTGATTCAGTAAGTGAACCCCTTGACATGCCTGGAGTGTGATGGAGTTTAGCCTTCACTGTTGTGTCCCAGCATACTGGCTCCTTGCCTTCTTGGCTGGGTCCCTGCTCTTCTGGGGGGCTGCCTGGAGGGTCTCTGGGAGCCCCCACACCACCTTGTCTCCCTCCTGCAGCCACAGTGCTCCTGATGTCAGATTATATCTGACACAAAGCATGGTGGCTGTGCTGGCAGCACTTCCAAACAGCTTGTTCCCCTCCTGCTGGAGACCAGAAGGATGATCATGGCAGGGAAATACTTCAAACCTGAGCTAAGTTTTTGCTATAGTTGAAAGATTTTGTTTCTGCCAGGAGCAAAACTGACTTGTTTGACTTTGGGAGCTGATCTTGAAGCTGTTTGTAGCCTTCCCACACATTGTTAAAGGTTTCTGGGGTACAGATATCTCTGTAGCCATGTCCCTGCTCTATGCAGGAGATGCCTGGGGAGCTTGTCAGCTGCATATCTGACAGCTTTCAGAGCACCTGGGCCTGCACTGCCTGTGGGTGCTGCCTGTGCTGCTCAGCTCTGTGGAGCTTTGTGCAGGCTCAGGCCACTCCAAGGGCTCCTGGCCCTGAGATTTCTTCAAAGTGAAGTAGCCAGAGATAGACATTTTAAATGAAACCTTAACTTGAAGGTGCCCACACCTTGATGGGGTTTACATGTGATCCTGCAAAAAAACAGATGAAGAGGGTTGTGGGCCGTGTCATTGGCTGTGGGGATTCCTGTTCATGCTGGGGGCTGTTTTCACCAGTCCCTGGGGGCTGGAGCTCACAGGGCTCTTGCTTTCTCTCCTTGTAGGTCTTGCGAAACAGAGGGGTTTATGAAAATGTCAAATATGTTCAGCAGGAAAACTTCTGGATCGGCCCCAGTTCAGTGAGTGCCGTTGGTGGGGCTGTTAGTGGTGGATGGGGGACTGTGTGCTGCAGCTGTGCCACCCCATGGACCAGAGCCCTCTGCTGCATGGAGCTCAGGGATCTGCTGTCACTGTCAGGGAGGAGCAGTGCTCCTAGCCCCAGTTACCCTGCAGAATGGAGTGCCTGGAGGTTGGGATGGACCTTGGCTTTCCTGCTTTGCACACTGTTCCTACAAAGACAAGCATGGGGTTAGAAAAAATGCAGGAGTTGTACAGTATGTGACAGCTTTCCTGATGTCATTCCCCTGGGAAACACAAAAATGAAGAGGAAACGTCACAAAGTTTTCTTTTCCAGCCATAGTGCTGGCCTTTCTTGGGCTATGGGCAAAGAAATCCATGAGCTTTTGTTCTGGACCTGTCTCCAAAGCAAATATGGAGAATGTGCATCGTGTGTATTGGGCTTGTCCCTGGCCCTTGAGTCTGGGTAGGGCTATCCCGAGCAGCTCCCCCAGCCTGCTGTGCCCAGGCAATCGTTGCCTTGGCTGAGCTGAGTGTTTCCATCTCTGCCAGGAGGCCCTGATCCACCTGGGGGCCAAGTTCTCCCCGTGCATGAGGCAGGACCAGCAGGTGCACAGCTTCATCAGCGCCAAACGGGAGAAGGAGAAGCACTCGGCGTGCTGCGTGCGCAACGACAAGTCAGGCTGCGTGCAGACCTCAGAAGAGGAGTGCTCAGTGAGTGCCATGGCCCTTCTCCTGCCAGCCCTGCAGCCTCAGCGCCACTTCTGCTGATGCTTCTTCCCCTGGGCTTCATGGTGACACCTCTCCTCTCTCCTGCAGTCCACGCTGGCCGTGTGGGTGAAGTGGCCCCATCACCCCAGCACACCGATGCTGGCAGGGAACAAGAGGCAGTTTGGCTCTGTTTGTCATCAGGACCCCAGGTAGGTCCTGCCTGGCCCAGCTGCCATCCTCGGGGGGACAGGGCTGCTGTACAGTCGGGCCAGTGGATTGCTGGATGAGGCAGCAGCAGCTGCTCTGTGGGGCAGTGATGTCCCTACACTGCAGGGGAGGCTGATGCAGGGTGTGATCATATTTCTCCTCACCCCTGGTCTCTGTTGTCGGCTGCCCACCTGAGCAGAGGCCTGTTGTGAGCTGTGGGTGCCTTCTCAACCCTCTCCCTCCCCTCACCTGCTCCCTGCACAGCTCCCTGCTTGGGGGGCAGCTGTCCTGAGCCTAGCACACCTCTGTCCAGGAGCCCAGCCAGCTGCTGGCTGCTCTGGCACAACCACTGTGGGCTGATGTAGAGCTGAAACAGCTGAATTCCTGCCCTTAGGGTGTGTCCATCTGGAAGGGATCCAGTTTATTGCTGGGCAGCTGTGTGCTCTCTGCCTTTGTGATCTCTGCTGGAAGGAGGCTGAGGCTTTGACCAGCATGGCCTTGGCTGATCTGGTCTGGTGTGTCAGTGTCACCATGCAGGGACACAGGGAGCTGTGGAATGGCAGCCTGGGCACAGGCTGAGTGTGGAAATCCTACCTGGTGCTGGGAAAAGGTATTTCTCAGGCTGATCTGTGCTTTGTTGCTGCAGGGTGTGTGAGCAGCCAGCCTCGATGGAGCCCCACGAGTGGCCAGATGACATCACCAAGTGGCCGGTGAGCATGGCCAGAGGCACAGGGCCTGCATGGGCAGCTGCAGTGTGGCATTTGCATCCCACTGTGCAGAGCCTCAGCTGTGCTGGTGGGAGGGCAGGGCCTCTGGTGCAGCTTCTGCTGCTTGTCACAAACACCAGTTCAGGGCAACTCTGCTGTGCCCAGCCAAGGCTCAAAGCCCTCCAACAACAAAAGTTGTCTCGTGCCAGCTAAAGCCCTGGATCCTGTCAGGGTAACAGGGAGATGGAAACCAACTCAGCCTCGGGCTGCAGAGGAGGTGTCAACTGATGCTCAGGCAGATGGAGTATCAGGCACCGTCCTGCTGTCAGAGGGAGCTGTGTCTGAGATCTGGCTTCTTCCCAAGGGGCTGTTTTGATTTTACCCAGCCAGCAAGCAAAGCTGTGGCTGTCTGACTGCAGCCTGTTGTTGTTTTGCAGATCTGCACAAAAAACAGTGCTGGGAATTACACCAACCACCTCCACATGGACTGTGTGATTACAGGCCGGCCCTGCTGCATTGGGACCAAGGGAAGGTAGTGAGTTTTACCTGTATGGAGGGGCTGGGTGTTGGGGTGAAACACGGGGCCTTTTCAGGTTGTAGACACAGCCATTTGCGCTCCTTGTCCTTTGCACACACAGCCCAGAGCCCTGCTGGGAAGGGGAGCTGGACAGAGCCACGACAGGTCTCCCAGATGAGCAGGAGTCTGGGATGAGCAGGAGTTAAGAGCCAGCCTGAGGCTGGCACAGCAGGGTATCTCACTCTACTGGTCCTGTAGTATGGAGGGATTTGGATACCAGTTTGGAGGGATTGAACCATTCTGCTGGGGAATCCTGCACTTTTCCTTAGGAATGGCCAGCTTGTTCCTGACAGGCTCCATTGTCCCCAGCCTGCAGTCCCTGGGCACTCAAGGGAAATGCCAGGAAATGGCCCACTCTGGGTTTGTAAAAGAGGAAGATGCTGTTTTTCTCATTTTATCCCTGAGCTTGATTACTAACCCAGTGCTTGGGCTTGGCTTTCCCTGCTAGGGACAAAAATGTGTGCTGCCCCAAAAAGTTTCTCTGTCCCTAAAGGTCATGACCAGGACACTCTTGACATAGCCCCCCCTGCCCCTCTGCCAGCTGCCAGAGGCACAAGACTCCCCCAGTCTGAGACACAGCTTCCCCAGGCTCTGGTGGCTCTTCCCAGCTCTAAACAGCAGCTTTAGGTTCTGTCTTGGAGCCGTGGTGTGCAGGTCTGTGGAGCTTTCCTGGAGGAGAGAAGCAGGAGGGGTGTGTGGAGAGGCACTGGGCTCAAATGGGAATGTGTTTGTGCCTTTGCTGTGACACTGCAGCATGTCAGGGACAGCTGAAGGCATCAGTTCTCATGGATGGGATGGGAAAAGGAGAGTGGGTGGCCTGGGAGGGCACAGGAATGATCCATTGTGCTTTCCATGTGCCACTTGTGCCTCCTGCAGGTGTGAAATTACCTCCCGGGAGTATTGTGAGTTCATGCGGGGCTATTTCCATGAGGAGGCAACGCTCTGCTCTCAGGTAAGGGTGCACCTGGGGGGTTCTGTGGCTGCCCTTTTCCCTCCAGGTGCCCTCAGCAGCTTGGCAGGATCTGGGGTGGCAGTGCTGCAGATTAGGGGGGAGTCCTGTGTCCTGTCCCTCCCTGAGCTTGGAGGAAGCTGCTGCTCCTGGCTGGAGTGGCAGAGCTGGCTGCACCTGTACCCCTTTGGGGGCCAGTTTGGGACTTGGGCTGGCAGCTGGGAAAGGTCAGCATGGGAGCACTGTGACAGCAGTGAGAGAAGGATCCACAGTCTGCTCTGTGGGTGAGCAGATGCCTCAGCTCTGGGTGCTGGGGTGAAAAATGAGGGCTTAAAGCTGACACAGGGAAGGGATGGGGTTGTGTAAATTTGTGTTGGAGACAAGGCCTGGGACTTGGTTCAACAGAGAAGTGGGAGGGGAGCCCCTCTTCCAGAGCTATCTGCAGTGTGCCCTGGGCTTGGAAAAGGACCCCTCTCCACACCCACTTCTGCCCTAGGTGCACTGCATGGATGATGTCTGTGGGCTCCTTCCTTTCCTAAATCCAGAAGTCCCTGACCAGTTCTACCGCCTCTGGCTCTCACTTTTCCTCCACGCTGGGTAAGCAGAGGTGTAAAACTTCCACTATGGGGGTGGGGGCACCCTCAGCCCGGGGTTTGCTGTGAGGTTTGTGGCTGTCCCTCGTGGAGACACAAGGATCTGAGCTGTGCTCTCTGCCAAGGTTTGCCATCCTGTGTTTGTTGGGAGGGATTAGCACCATGGGTAAGGCCAGAGCAGGAACTCTGAGCAAGGCTGGGGACAGAACATGAGCACAGGGGTCATTTCAGTGGCTGCTGCTTCAGCTCCTGTACTGTGCACTTGGCAGGATCCTGCACTGTCTGGTTTCAGTCTGTTTCCAAATGACGATCCTGCGGGACCTAGAGAAGCTGGCAGGATGGCACCGCATCTCTATCATCTACCTTCTCAGTGGCATCACTGGGAACCTTGCCAGTGCAATATTTCTACCCTACAGAGCAGAGGTGGGTCTCCTGCAGCCCAGGGTCCTGGTGACTTGCCCTGAGCACAACCCTTCTCTACATGCCTGTGCCTCTGTGGCTGAGGCAGAGCCACCAGAGCTGGGCTCACCACTGCAGCCTTGGCACTTGTAGCTCGAAGGTGGCACCACACCATCATTTAATTGCTGAGCAGCACCAACCCCTGGGGTACCCTGGGCTTTCCAAGTGACTGGCCTGGGCTGGCTGCAGGAAAAGGGCTGCCTCTCGTAACAGATGGGGGATTGTCCAACCACGGGCTGAGAGAGGCCCCAGGCAGGCTCAGAATCAAGTGTGGTGTCAGACACCCTCCACCTGAGAGTGGCAAAGAGCAAAGCTCACTGTGCCCACAGGAGACTGCATGGCTGGACCTGCAGGAGCCTTCCAGCTCCTTTCATAAGGAAAACTACATGGTGGGTGGGGGAAGCCAGGAGATTGCCTTCAAGGGCTTCTCCCCTCTGGCAACTTGAACCAGATCTGCCCTCCTTAGTCTGTTCTGGCCTCACACCTTGATCCTAAATCCAACCAGGCCCCTTTACTCCTGGCACTCCATTACATGGATGAAGTTGCAGAGTCTCTTTGCTAAGAATCACTGAACAGGAGTTGAGTAAGAAGTAACTAACTCCTGGAGCTGGCTGCAGAGGCCAGGCAGGTGGCATGAGCCTGACATTATCTGTAATGCTCTTCTTCTGCAGGTTGGCCCTGCAGGATCCCAGTTTGGAATTCTGGCCTGTCTCTTTGTGGAGCTCTTCCAGAGTTGGCAAATCCTGGCACGCCCATGGAGGGCTTTCTTCAAGCTGCTGGCTGTGGTGCTCTTTCTTTTTGCCTTTGGCCTCCTGCCTTGGATCGATAATTTTGCTCACATTTCAGGATTTATCAGTGGTTTCTTCCTCTCCTTTGCCTTCCTGCCCTACATTAGCTTTGGGAAGTTTGATTTATATAGGAAACGATGCCAAATTATAGTTTTCCAGCTCATCTTCATCGCACTCTTCTCAGGACTGGTGATTTTGTTTTATTTCTACCCCATCAAGTGCGAGTGGTGCGAGTTCCTCACTTGTATACCCTTCACAGACAAATTCTGCGAGAAATACGACCTGGATGCACAGCTCCACTGACAGCAAAGACTGGCTTCTCGAGCAGGCCCTGGAGATGGACTGTCTTTGCATTTGCTGTGCCAGTTCCGTGGGGACAAAACCTCTAATCCAATGACACTTCTAACCCTACCCGTGGTTAATTTAAACTGTCTCCTTAGCACTTGGCAGGCATGGTTTGCCTTATCTCAGAAGACTCTGAAAAACAGAACATTTGTGCCTTGTTCAATTGTATTGAACCTTTTCTGCTGCCATTATTTTTATTACACTAGTTTCAATACTACATTTTTAACCAGAGTTGTTTACTACTGCTAAGGTGGTGATTAAATGGTGAGGTAGCGTTTTAGCTACTGTGAATTGTTCTGAGTAGTCTGTGCCTACCTTTGTTACTTAATCTCACTCCTGCTGTTTCATGTACCCTGTGGAGCACCCAAACCAGCCAGATACACATCTGCAGCTGGAAATAAGGGCCTGAAAAGCCTCAGAAAACTAGAGGGTCTCTTTAATCCCTGGAATCCACATACAGCTCAAGGGCAAACAGCAACTGTAAAAAATATGAGAATGTCCAGTCAATGGCGTTTGTTCCTCTTCCAAGTGTGACAGCCTTTTCCTCCAGAAAGATGCTGAATCCACAGTCTGGTCTTGGTAGGGCTGGATTCTCTGCTCTCTCTGTTTAAGAAAGAAAGTATTTGTCAGTGACAATAATTACTGCATGCTGGGCTTTTCTCACCACGCTGCCATGATGGTCCAGGAGGAACCAGCCAGTGCCAGAGGTGACTGCTGGTCACAGGCACCCTAGAGCAGGTGGCTGTTGTTAGGGCACACATTTTATTACACTGGATCTTGAAAATATGGCAGTGTTGAAAGAAGAATAAAAGGTAACTGTGGTCAAAAAGGAACAGTTTTTAACCCAGCTACCTGGAGCAGCAAAACAACACAAGGCTTTGGACAAGCTGCTCTTAGCCCTATTCTTCAGCCACTGTGACTGTTTCTAAAAGCATAATTTAAAACTCACTAAGCCTGAGAGTTCTTGGCTACATCTTGTGTTTGTGTGCACAGCTTTCTCCAAACAGCAGTATTAATGCAGAATTATGTCTGCATGAGTTAGAAACCCAGCCATGCTCCTGACAATGATTTCCAGACATGTAAAAAGCCTAAAAGAAAGCAAGGTCATAGAAGCAATCACAGCAGCAAAGGAACACTGTGCTTAATGAGTCTCAAGACAATGTAGAAGCAGATTGAGAGTCTAAACACAGAGTCAGCTATTGCTGCTGCTGCTCCCAGTGTGTGTCACCTGAAGTAGCTGAATTATCATTCCCTGCCCCAAGAGGAGCACAAACAACACTACCAGGATCTGGAAACAGGCACCAGCCTCGTGCAGGCATTCAGAAATAACTCTGCCAGCCAGCAGAGAGCAGCAGCATCAGCTCTGAGCCTCAACACTATGGCCTGGGGAAGATGAGGAAGGAACTGGGAGCTCTTAGTGGACATTCAGGACTTACCCCGCTGGTTACTTCCGAAGCTTCTTTATGAAGCTGACCTCGTCCCGGTTCCTGATGCCATACCTGAACACAGAGTTAGGCTGTTAAATATCAGCTTCCCAGCAACAATAACCCCATAGCTTCATCTTTCCCAGGGACACAGGGACTCCTACAATCCCGTGCTGTGCTGTACTAGAGGACACATTAAAATTCTCACTTGTGTATGTGGGACATGCTGCCAGCACTGAAGGATCTGCTGATCTGCCTTTAACTGCAACAACCCCTTAAATGCAACATCTGTCACCCAGGCTCATTCTTCCAAGGACAGCTTTGATTAGGGCTGTCTTGCTGAATTTTTAGTACTTCAGACCACCTTTTCTCATTGGTGTGCACATGCTGGCAGACCCAGCACTGCAGGGAAGTGCCTCATCCCTCCTTGCCTCAAGAATGGGCAGGGAAACATGGTCAGACCACCTTTTCTCACTGGTGTGCAACATGCTGGTAGACCCAGCACTGCAGGGAAGTGCCTCATCCCTCCTTGCCTCAAGAATGGGCAGGGAAACATGGGAGTCACCTGTCAGCATTGTTACCAGACTGTCTGAGAGGTGGCTGAGCAGCTCCAAAGATCAACACCCGTCCTTGGACTTCCTCTTTACTTGGCATTCTTCATAGAATCATAGAATGTTATGGGCTTGGAATGAACCTTACAGACCATCCAGTCCCAACACCCCTGCCATGCACAGGACACCTCCCACTAGGCAAGGTTCCTCAAAGCCTTATCTAACCTGGCTTTGGCCACTGCCAGGGCTGGGGCATCCACAACCTCCCTGGGCAACCTGTTCAGTTCCTGTTTGCTGCTCTTTCCTATCCTACATCAGTATCTGTGCTGAGCTGAGTAACTGTAACCATTCTGTAGGAGTTCGGGAGGGATGGCCGAGGGTTCTGTGGGGTGCTCTGAACTGGCTGAACCCAGCACAGGATGGTGCTGGCTGAGGATGAGGAACCCCCCAAGGCCAGCCTGTCCTGCAGAGAGCCTCTGAGTGTGCCTGTCCCACTTCTGTGGGCAGTGCTGTCCCACCTCCCAGCCAATGTCCAGCACAGGACCTCCGATCCCGGGCACAACCTCCCAGCTCAGCCCTGCCCCTGGGGATGCTGCGTGGGCTCCTCTCAGCCCCCCAGCGCTGACTCGGTTACTCACTCTCTCAGCCTCTTCCTGTCATCCGCCAGCTTCTCTCCATTGAACGTGAGGTGGTACGTCCTCCATATGTACTTCCTGCGGGAAAAACATTCAGGGGCAGCCGCGGGAGCGGGACCGGGCTGGGATGCGCTCCCAAGCCGCCCGGCCGGCCCCGCTCACCAGCTGAGGTGCTGGACACCGCCCTGCCGGGCCTGCCTCAGCTGGATGTGCCGCCGCAGCGCCTTCTTCAGCTCCAGCACCGAGGCGTTCTGCACCACCACCACGGCTGCGGGGCGGGGAGAGCCGGGTCAGGCCCGCCGCGCCCCGGGCCCCGCCCGGCCCCGCCCGGCCCCGCACGCACGCACGGTCTCGCCGTCCGCCTTGCACACCCGCACCGTCATGGCCTGCCCGTACTCCAGGGCCACCTGCGAGCCGATCTCCTCCGCCGTCACCTGCGGGCGAGTGACAGGGCCGTGAGCCCAGCCCCGCCGGCCCGGCCCGGCCCCCGCGCCCCGGGCCCACCTGCGGGGGGAGGTCGCAGAGCAGCGGGTCCTGCACCAGCCGCGCCAGCGCCGCCTGGAACAGCTCCAGCACCTCGGCGTGCGCCAGCTCCTCCGCCGGCTCCTCCGCCGGCTCCTCGGCCGCCATCGCCGGAAGGGGCGGGCGGCGCGGCGGAACCGGCGATGCTGCTCTTCTGCCCGGCCTGCGGGAACGTGCTGGTGGCCGAGGAGGGGCCGCGCTGCCACCGCTTCGCCTGCACCACCTGTCCCTACGTGCGCAACGTCACGCGGAAGGTACCGGGGCGCGGGGGGCGCGGGGGCGGCCCGGGACGGGGCCCGCCGGGGCCGGGTGCCCGGTGCCCGCTGAGCCGCTCCCGGAACGGTCCCGCAGGTGACGAGCAGGAAGTACCCGCGGCTGAAGGAGGTGGACGATGTGCTGGGCGGCGCCGCGGCCTGGGAGAACGTGGACTCCACGGCAGGTAGGGCCGGGCCGAGGGGCCGCGCGGGGCTCGCTGGGCCCTGCCGGCCCCTCACGGCCCCTCACGGCCTTTCCCCGCAGAGCCGTGCCCCAAGTGCGAGCACCCCCGCGCCTACTTCATGCAGATCCAGACGCGCTCGGCCGACGAGCCCATGACCACCTTCTACAAGTGCTGCAACCCGCAGTGCGGGCACCGCTGGCGGGACTGAGGGCCGCGGGGATGGAATTACTGCTGCTCCTGCAATAAACGCGGCACTGCGGGCAAGCAGGCGGCTGCTGCGTGGTTGCTTTGGGCCTGGCAGGGAGGGGAAACAGGCTGCAGCAGGGTGTGTGCCCGTGCTGCGGCCCCGGGAGGGCAGGGGCCCGTAATGCGCACAGGGCAGGGGTGATAAAGTCGTGCCCTGCCCACTGGAACAGCCCTGTTGACAACGGAGACAGGCCTGAAGGTAACCGAGCTGAAGCACGGTGAGGAAACCCCAGCCCTGAGCACAGCACAGAAGGCAAAGCAGAGGTGAAGTGTTACCACTGTGGCCTTAGAACCACAAAATGAAAAAAGGGGCATTTGCTGTGACCTGTGAAAACCCTGTCATTAAAGAGGAACTACAAACTACACACTGCAACCAGTTACTGTTAAAAGGAGAATGTGCTTCAGGTAGGATCACGTATTACGTGTGTTTTAACATCAAGCTTTATTCTCAGTTTAAATACATTCAGAAGTAAAAATGATAAATAACTTAATAAAAACATGATGGAGCACAAATTGTAACATTTCATCTCCATGAACGATAAATAATAAAAACATGATGGAGCACAAATTGTAACATTTCATCTCCATGAACACTCTCTCCCACAGGCAAGGCCAATTTCCTATGACTGAGCTTTTCCCCTTCTATCCAGGGATAATCTGCACCCATTTATTCCAGTTCATGTCGCAGGGGAACACTCTCCCCAGCCTGAGAGTACAGTCTATCGTGGGCTCGTAGTAGATGGTTGGGCTTTCACTTAGTTTGGGATTCTGTAGTTGTTCTTCCACAACTGGCTGAGAAAAGAGTGACACTGGGGATGGCTTTTTCATGTAGAATCGTCGGATGCAACCAAGAGTTTCCAGACCCTGCAAAAAAATTCACATATTTTAATATGCTGTGAATGCTGCTCTCGCTACAGTGTTCTCAGAAATGTTGGACAATTTATACCAAAAGTGGCTTCACTTGAGCTCCTGAAGAGCCTATGGTTACAACACAAAGGTAAAAAGAATAAACAGCTTAATAAAACCATGCAAGCTCTAGCTGGATATATCTAGTTACTTTCAAGCACGGTGATTGATACATGGTTACTGACACAGAATGTGCTCAGCAAGAGATGTCAACATTTAGGACCAGTTACAAAAAATCTAAGGCTGCTCTAGATGTCAATCCCAGACTTCTGTGCCCGTCCTTGTTAATGGTTAACAGGTGTATGAGAAGCTCTGCCTGTGGTTTCTAAACCAGTTCTTAGTGAATTTATTGGTGCACAACTTAGATCGGAGTTCTCCACTCTGTAAAATGTAGAGGTAATTAATTGCTTGATTTTGTGAGTTTGAATTCACATTGCCCAGGAATCCATAGTGGAACACCCAGAACAGGATATGTGTGACTGGTAACACTCCCAGCTGGCACTGTCACCACAGGGTACAAGCCCTGGGGAAGAAGTGGCACATGGACACTGGAAAATGGATTTCTAACTAGCAGGGAAGTCATGCTTTTGGGAAAGCCTGCAGGATTATTGCTCTGCTTCAGATTCTGAATATTTATAGGAAAAAAATAGAAATCAAAATTCCATTTCCAAAGTGGTGGCAACTGAATGTCAAGATGTGGGAATAAAGTTATGAGAAACTCAAAATTTTCTTGCCATCTTTTGTGTGACAACTAAGGACCTTAGGCAGGTCAGAAGGTCTGATTTACACATTGTCTAGCACAGACACATGTCAGTTTGATTCTCATGGCAGACTACCCATCTAGAAGGCATATAAGAAAAAAATTATGAATATTTGGATTATCTGTGGTGACTGGAGACTGGAACCAGAGGATCTTTAAGGTGGCTGAGCAGCTCCAAAGATCAACACCCCTCCTTGGGTTTCCTCTTTGCCTGGCATTCTTCACAGGATCACAGAATGTTACAGCGTTGGAATGGACCTTATAGACCTTCCAGTCCCAACACCCCTTCCAACCCAAACTATTTTGTGACTGCCACTGCATCAAACAGTCAATTTCATGGTGACAAGCCCCACTCTTCAGCAACCTCCCTGTCCATCCCTTTCAGAAGCAAGCTCAGCCTGTGAAGGGTACCCCAGGCCTCCCTCCTCCCTCCCTGCGGGCAGTGGCTCGCTCTGGCTGTGGCTCACGGACCCCAAAGGCAGCAGGGTGTTTTCCCCAGGGCCCTGGCTGCAGGGCTGTCCTACTGCTGTACCTGCAGGATCTCCAGCACGGCCACGGGCTGCAGCACGCCGCTGTAGTGCTGCAGCAGCCCGGCCTGCGGCACGCCCGGCTTGCTCATCACGTGGTAGAGCACGGCCTCCATCATCCCCTTGCACACCGGCTTGTTCAGCTTCCCATCCACGATCCTCCACGGCCTCCCGATGAAGGAAACGCTCTCACAGGCCCTGCCAAAGACAGGGAAAACTCGGCTCTCAGGAATTCTTTGGGATGGGTTTCTCATCGTTGTAATTTCTGCCTCTGAGAGGTTCTCACTGCATCTGTTTTAACTCAAGTGTAAATCCTGTGGCTGCTCTGAGCAAGGGCTAGTGCTGCTCTACCAAACCTGCATTTTACACCAGGGGTTCACCCCTTTTAGCACCATTACAAAACTGCAGCTGCCCTGGGTCTCAATGAGCAGGGAAGCTTTGTTTGGTATTAGCTCCAATATCCTCCAAAAGTTATTCAAGACCTGCACCACGCAGCACCAGTGCTCTGATGGGAGGCAAATCCCTCATTTTTAGTATTTTAGCATCCAAAAGACAGTCCCTGCATGGAAATTCACATTTCTCACATTGCAGTTTCTCCAGGCCTTTCCTGGGCACCTGGAAGCTGGCACTGGGCTTATTTGTGCAGTAAAATCAGTTTTGGTCCTCTGATATTTGGAGCTCATTGGTTTTTGGGTAAAAATATCTATCAGAGACATTTTTTCAGCATGCACAGGAGCACAAGGAACGTTAACGGGAACAATGGAGTGGGGTTTCTCCATCACTGCTCATCAGAGCATAAAACTGAGGTTTCCAAACCACTGCTTCCAGCACTCTTTTGGCAGTGCCAGGTGTTTGGTATTCTGCAGACAGCTCTGTTACTCACCCGTCCCTGGCTGCCTGGGAGACATCTGTCATGGAGCTTCCTGGAAAGAAAAGGACACATATTTTCTAATTAACTCAAATTCCTTATCTAATGGAAGGAGAGTTAAAGGTGGCCAAGCTGTGAAGTGCAAGAGCTAGGAAAGCACAGCAGCAAACTACTCCATGTGCAGCTCTCAGTTTTGTGGAGCTCTGAGCTGCCCCTCAGCCCTGCCTGCAGCAAACTCTTCCCACACGTCCTCCCACGGCCACATCTCCTTACTCAACCCCACCTTCTGTGGTTCTTTTCCCCAGTCCCAGCAGGTTTTATTCCTGGAAGTCTGATGCTATGGCTGAACCATGGTGATTGTAGGGGCTGAAAGAACTGAGGTGCACAGAGAGCTGTGCGGGGTCTCAGCCTGGAGCTCTCCAGGGGTCTGGGTAACCTAAAGCTCCTGGAAATCAGAGGGAAATCAAATCCAAGGAGCTGGAGATGTGAATGCAAACTCAGGATTCCAGCAAGACTCAGTTTCAAAGCAAAGGCTGTCTCTGCAACTCCCATTACATTATGTCATGGGTTTTAATTAGACAATTACTTAATGAGGTATTCCTACCACACCCAGAGGGTAACAGCTTTGGCTTAAGCACATGTAAACATTCACTGGCCAGTGAGGACTATATGTGTTTGATAACAGAACTCCTGTTTTTCCCTCCTATGCTACAAACAACTCAAGGATGTTAAATCCAGTGAAGTACTTCAGTAGTTTAATTTAAGAACTGCTGAAGTCTCTGTTGTTTAGACAGCCCTGAGAGCATTTCCTGCAGGAAGGCTGCAGTTAAACAATCCCAAGCTGTGGGATGTTAGGGATCACCCTCTGGACCTGGGTACTGGCAGGGCTTGGCAAGGTACCACAGGAGCAGCGAGCTTGTGGTTCAGTCTGAGATTAGAGCTCATAAAAACCAAACCAAAATGAAATCCCCACAAACTACTAAATGTAAAGCTTGGCAAGAACTACTAGCTATTAGAAAACTGGCAGTAAAAAGGGAAGGAAAATGAAGTCCAATTGGGTTACAAATGAGGCTGTTAAATCTCACTGGCATGTGCTGCTTCTGGTGAATGGTTTAATGAGTTTAGGACTTTCAGCCATGGACATTCCAGCTAAATGCACACCAGCAGTGCTGTGTTTTCTAGGCTTAGAGATGCCTGACCTTTGGACTGAAGCCAGGGATGAGAAACTTCAGATCCAAATTATTCTGGAAAAAATTAAGACATGGAAACAAGTTTCTAAGGAAAACATACTTCTGGACTAGTCATTCCAGCAAAAGGCATAGGAAGGATTATGGGATATATTTGAAAACTCTGAGACCTTCCAGATGAATTAATGTTATGCCAATTTATCTGTGAGAGAAGACAATCTCTCTGGTACAGCTGCATAAAGAATCCAGGATTTGCTTATGAAGTGCAGCTACCGGTTTGGGATCAACTGCTGATGAGCTGGTTTGTATTTCAGGGATGCAGAGGGCTCTCCATACCTTTAGAGACTCCTGGGTTCTCCTGGAAGCAGGAAAGATCATCATCCTGCTCACTGGCTGATTGTTCAGGGATAGGGATCTGCTTGCTGTGCTCAGTGCTGAGCTCATCGTTCTCTACTTCAGGTTCTTTGTCCTCAGAATGAGATTTATCTTGTTCCTTGTAAGTGTCCACATCCACAGCCTCTGGAGCAGGCTCTGGGAGTTCAGCTGGGGGTTCAGCTGGGGGCTCCAGGGAGCCTCCTCCTGGAGCTTCTTCACTCCCAGTAACAGCTTCCTTCCTTGGGACAGGCTCAGAAACAGCTGCATCCAAGTTCCTGCCATCTGCACTTGCCAGAGCAGGCTGTGCACCCTGGCAGAGGTGACTGTCACTCTGAAGGATGTCAGTCTTACACCTCTTCCTCGGGGGCTCGTCATCATTGGCACACTGTGTGTCT